TCTCTCTCTCTCTCTCTCTCTCTCTCTCTCTCTCTCTCTCTCTCTCTCTCTCTCTCTCTCTCTCGTCAACTTCCCCTCTCTTCTCACTACCTGACCTCTGACTCTACAAAAACAATTTCTCTTTCTTCACCCCAAAAACCACCTCCTTTCTCCAACAATTCATGCCCCCTCCATGTCACTCTCAAAGCCCACCAAACCCATCAGACCTCAAAGTCCTTGCCATTCCCTCTCCAAAGCTTCAAAGACTCAACAATGTTCACTTCTCAATCACTTCCACTCTCTAAAAGCCCATTCATCGCTTTCCAAACTCGTAAAGGGGCTCAGAAATTATGATGCCACTTTCTTTCTCTTTGATTCTGTGTTCCCAGAGGACTCACCATGTTTTCTCTCTTGTTTGACAATGTCCACAACCTGGTGGTTCAAGGATCACAAAGTTTAGCAGAAGATGTTCTCTTTCATCTGGTATTCCACATATTCTCTCTCTGTTGTGTTAGTATGCCATACAGAATCCATGGTCTCCATGGGTCGGATTCATGTGTGCATGGTTTACTATTTAAAGACAATTTCAATGCAAAGTTGGTGTGTGATGCACTTGTGATACTGGGTAGAATGAGGAGAGAGAACTTCACCAAGTTATTTTAGCTTTGAACAATCTTTCAATTTGTTATTTGGGTTTGATTAGGTTTCCATTGTTCTGCAACTTTTTTAAGAGATATTGGCCGATGGGCCACAACCTAACATTCGAACTTTCAATATTTGGTACTTAGGTTTTGCAGAAGAGGATATTTAGGGAGTGGAAAGAGTTCAATGGAGGTGATGAATCGATAAGGATGTATTCCCAATGTTTTCACCTATAATATTCTTAATTCTTATCAATTCTTACTCTTCTTATGGCCTCTTATGCTCTGGTTTTGTTTGGTCTAATGCTTCAAAGAGGTATGTCAACCCCAAACTTGTAACTTTAAATGTACTCATTATTGGAGCCCGCAAGGTTGGAGATATGGAGGAAGCGAAAAGAATTTTCAAAAAAATCGGAAAAGAAAGAGTATCACCCAATATTTTAACATATAATGCTTTGATTTATGGGTATTGAAATTGCAGAGATATTGATTCAATAAACCCTATTTATCAAGAAATGGTAGATAAAGGTTTCACGGTTGATAGCTCCACTCTCAATAACCCCTCTTAATGTTATTTAAAATAGGGACAATAACTAAATTCTAAAATATCTGAAAAAAATTATAATAATTTTTCCTTTTTTAACATGAAAATAGATTAAATCTGCAAACCCAGGGCATACAAACAGATGACAAAAACAATTATTTGCATAACTTGGGTTCCATCTAGAAATTATCCAAACAGGTCTGTCTCAATAGCCAAGTTTTGGCATACTTAGGGTATCACATAATCAAGAAGCCAGAGGGAGCCATAAACATTTACAAATTATATGCTCACATACAAATGTACAAAAATTAGGACCGCCTAGGCATAGCCTAGGCAGTAGGCCCCAGGTGAATGTACTAAGGCGCTTGCCTAGGCATCTTGCAGGGCAGGTGCATAGGCGGCACCTTGAAATTCCTTAGCCGGGGGCGGCAAATGCCCCACGACCAATGAGTTTTTTGGTCATTTTCCCCTTTAAAAAGGGGGGAAAGGGGTTTTGGGGGGGCACTCTTTGTTAATTTTTATTTAAAATTTGGAGTTTCAAAATCTTTTTTAAGGTTAAAATTGGTGATGGTCCATCATGCTCTTTTGGTATGCATGGACCACCACTTCTTCCTCTCATCTTTTGTTTTGCCATTTATACCTTTAATGTTGCTTTGTCATGATGACCTCACCTCCTTGTCCCCCCAAGCCCATGCACTTGGCATTTCACTCTCTCCATGTATTGTCTCTCTCTCTCTCTC